CCATTACAAGTGCAGTGTATAGTGCCCAATTGGAAAGGTTAGCCCAAGTTTTAAGAGAAAAAGAACCCGCGCTGATTAATCGGAAGGGCGTAATTCTTCACCACGATAACACACGACCGCATACTGCAAGAATCACTGCTGAAAAACTGCGCCAGTTGGAATGGGAAGTTCTCCCTCAACCTGCATATTCTCCTGATATTGCCCCTTCCGATTACCATTTGTTTCGTTCTTTGCAAAACTTTCTTCTTGGAAAAAAATTTAATAATGAAGAATGCCTCAAAAATGCATTGACCGAATTTTTTGCATCAAAATCACAAGAATTTTACAACAGAGGGATTAAAATGCTTCCTGAGCGTTGGGCACAAGTAGTAGAAAACAACGGCAACTATATTGTTGATTAAATTTTGTTGTATTGTTTAAATTCGATTTACAAAAAGTATTCAAAACGACATTAATTATTACTAGACCTAGTAAGTGCATAAAGCATGCTCTCTGGCAGACACAGTGTACTTAAGAAATAGTTTTTAAGAACTAAAAATATTTCAAATGTTTACAAATTAGGAATAACCTAGCCAAACAAGACATTGCGATGGGAATTAGAAAATATTTTGGTTTTGCCTTTTTCCTGCTCCCACGCCACGGCCACGGGCTCACCGGGAGCGGCTCGCCGTCGCCGATCTGGGCGGGCAGCGGCCCGGGCCGCCGTCCTGGGGACTCCCTGCGGCCCTCAGGGCGGGGCGCGGCGGGCTCTGCCCTCCCTCCGTGGCAGTCACGTGGGCGAATTACTGGGAAATGGCGGCTTGGGTTGAAAAGCTAGAAAATACTCTAAAGTACGAGCAAAACACGTGAGGATCTGTGGCTGCAGCTTCCGCACCGCGTGCCGCTCCACCCGAGGCCGCGCCCCCGCGGGCTCTTCCCGCGGAAAGGCCAGGGCGGGAGCCGGGGCGGGGGCGCCGCCGGGGAGCTCCCACCTGCGCCGGGGCCGCGGCGGCGGCGGGGTGACGCCTGGAGCGGCCTGGGCGCCGCCTGCGCTGCGGGGGAAGCAGCGCCCTCGGGAGGCCGCCTCAGGCCCGGGCGCCCCGCGGGGAGGCCGCCTCAGGGGCGGGGGCCGGAGGCGGGGACGTGGCCACTCGCCCCCGCCTCGCCTGGGCCGCCCTCCCCGTCCTCGCCCCACGCAGCCTGGCCTGACCTCCGACCTGACCTCCGACCTGACCTCCGACCTGACCTCTGACCTGACGTCCTCCACGTGGTTGCAGCGGCCGCCGCGGCCGCCTCAGGCCCGCCATGGAGCCGTGGAGCCACGGCCGCGAGGCCGGGAGACGTGGGCCTGGCAGCCGCCCGGCGCCCAGCGGCGGCCCGTGTCCTTGAGGCGCTAGGGACCCGCCATGTGCGCGGCCATGTGCGCGGCGGAAGGAAGCCCGGCCCCCGCCCGCGGCCGCTGCCGCCCGCGCTGCTCGCCCACCGCGCCGCCCGCCGCTCCGTCCCGTGGGCGGCCGGAGCCGCTGCGCCTGGGCTGCGGGTGTCTGCAGGCCTCGCCCAGCTCCCCCAGCGGCAGGCACCGAGTGCAGGGTGCGGAGCCCAACCCCATGGACTGGCCCACATCGCACTCCAACCGTCTGCGAGGTTCCGCTGGGCCTGGTTCCCCCATCAGCCAGCCCCGAGACACAGGCTCACCGGGACCGCCTCCCGCTTGCTGCAAGGAGCAGCCCCAGCTCAGTGACTGAGAGTGGGAGCTCTGGCCCTCTGTCCGTGTTCCCATCACCTGGGCCTTGGAGCCCCGTGTGTTCTCCCAACAGAAAAGCCACGTGGCCCCGTCCAGCACGGGAGGCCGGCAATGTGGCCCTGAGGGCGACGCCAACCTCTGTGGCCGCCCAGTGCTGGGGAGGACAAGGAAGAGACAAGGTGTGGGCACCCGGCGCCCTCCACACCAGAGTTCCCCTGCGACCGAGACCGCCCGTAGGGAGGCCCTCTGAGTTCAGATGGAATGAAGACGCACAGGCCACATGGGATTTCAGAGCCAGGCTAGGAAAAAGAATGTAAAATATTTCTTTAATAGATTATTCTATTGATACATTTTGAAATGACAATATTTTGGATATGTTGGGTTAAAAAAAATATGTCGTTAAAATTAATTTCAACTTTTAAAATCCAGCCCCTAAAAATTCTAAGATTCCAGGTTACATTTCTGTTGGGCAGTGCCCACCTAGAGTAGCTAGAAAGTTCTTAAAACAGTTACACTAAGAAGTTTTTCCCCTCAGTATATCATACACCACTTTGAGATGATTGGGAGATAAAAATAAATCAAATACAATCCTACCCCCCAAACCCTATGCCGCATCCATTTACAGCCGGGGTTCAGGATCTGAAGAAGGAGTCCCCACAAATGAAAAACTAGACAAGAAAGGAATGTAGAAGGCATGGGAGCCAGGCGGAAACTTCCCTCTAGTGGAGAAGTCCATCTGCTTTTATTCACTTGAATACACATTGCCCTTTGATATGCATGCAGGCATACCAAAGGCAAAGTTTGGAAAACAGTAAAAGGATTATCAGGTAGGGAATTGCCTTCAGTCATTGAGCCCACAGTAGAGCTGATTTTCAGTCCTGAAAAAGTTCATTGGCCTTCCAATGGATTTTTTTGCATTTATTTAGCCTCTGGCACCCTATGCCGGCCCCCTTTCCTCCCCCCCCCCCCACCCCCTACCCCCCGCCCATGTGCTCCTCTCTTCCCAGTGTTCCTAAGACACGCTCAGCAGTGAGTCTGTCCTCTGCCCCTGAGACTCCAGGCCATCACAGCTGAACTGAAGCCATGACCCTGCTCCTCCTCCACAGCTGCCTGAGACTGGCCTTTATCACCTCATCGTCACCTCCTGGAAAACCCGGCAGGACTCAGGGAAAATGGGCAAACCACCTGCAACATGTACACCTGTAACCAAAACACCAACAGAAACAATCACTGATTTCATTTAAAGGCTACTAAAGTTGAAGACATTAAATTCCTAATAAATAACTACAGGACTTCACCTTTTGAAAAAAGAGTTGATGGCATCTTGATGAAAGGGTGTTTACAGAAGGGTAGATGGTTCCTAATTCTGGAGATTAAAATTCACAGAGATGCCCAGGCCAGGTAGCACCGCTAGTTAGAGCATTGTTCCAAAACGCAAGATTGCAGGTTTGATCCCCAGTCCGGGCACAGACAAGAATGAACCATGGATGGATAAATAAGTGAAACAACAAGTCAACGTTCCTCTCTCTCTCTCTCTCTCTCAAAAGAATCAATTTTTTTTAAATTCGGAGCCCTGGACAATGTTGCTCAGTAATTGAAGCATCTGCCCAAGAACCGAAAGGACCTGGGTTTGATTCCCAGTCAAGAGCATGGAACTGGGTTGCAGGTTTGCTCTCTGCCCCCTTCCACCCCCCATCAGGGCTTGTGCAGGAGGCAACCAGTCGGTGTGTCTCTCAAATCAACATTTCTCTCTCCCGCTCCCTTTCCCCCTTTCACTCTCTCTAAATATTAATGGAAAATATCCTCAGGTGAGGATTAATAACAAAGATTCACAGACCCAACAGGTGTGGCTCAATGGTTGGGAGTCGAACTGTGAACCAAGAGATCACGGTTCCATTCCTGGTCAAGGCACATGCGCAGGTTTTGAGCTCAGTCCCCAGTGGGGGTGGGAAGGGTATGCAGGAGGCAGCCGACCAATGACTTTTTTCATTGATGTTTCTATCTCTCTCCCCCCTTCTCTCTGAAATCAATAAAAAATATTTTTTTTTTTAAATCACAGAGATCAGGGAGATTCACATAGTGATTGTGGTGCATGGCCAAACAGAGTCCCAAGGACACTGAAGGATGTCAGGTTATGCTACTTTGCATGTGTTACCCTGGTATGGCACACAATGGAGCAGGCAGTCACCCCTGAGTCCATTCCCCACACTATCCAGAAACATTCCACTTCACTAATCGCACAATAGCAAATGCACACTATAGCCAGGCTTGCAATCCCTTTGCTTCACGCTTGCAATTCCGGTTTCTGCCAGCAGGAGGAGATAGCGTGCTGTGCCACAATCAGCCAGAAACACCCAATTAAATACTTGGTCACAAGGTGGCCAAGCTTCTCTAAATCTTTTCATGTGAAGACCATAGTGCCGTAAAGAAAGAATTGAGCGTGCGGAGCACTAGAGACTGCACTCCGCACACTATTGTCAAACAAGCTGTTTAAACATTTGAGGTGAAATGTAAAATGCCACCTGTGCTCTTGGCAAAGGGGCAGGCAGACATCCATGAATCGATTCCATCGGCTGTTAAGAAATTTGGCTGGCCGGACCGGTTTGGCTCAATGGATAGAGCGTCGGCTTGGAGACTAAAAGGTCCCGGGTTCGATTCTGGTCAAGGGCATGTACCTTGGTTGCGGGCATATCCCCAGTAGGGGGTGTGCAGGAGGCAGCTGATCGATGACACTCTCTCATCGGTGTTTCTAACTTTCTATCTCTCTCCCTTCCTCTCTATACAAAATCAATAATATATATATATTAAAAAAAAAAGAAAGAAAGAAAGAAAGAAAGAAAGAAAGAAAGAAAGAAAGAAAGAAAGAAAGAAAGAAAGAAAGGAAGGAATTTGGCTGTCGCCGAAACCGGTTTGGCTCAGTGGTAGAGCGTCGGTCTGCGGACTGAAAGGTCCCAGGTTCGATTCTGGTCAAGGGCATGTACATTGGTTGCGGGCACATCCCCGGTAGGGGGTGTGCAAGAGGCAGCTGGTCGATGTCTCTCACTCATCGACGTTTCTAGCTCTCTACCTCTCTCCCTTCCTCTCTGTAAAAAATCAATAAAATATATTTTTAAAAAAATTTGGCTGTCTAACTTGTCCAGGTAATTCAGACCTAGAGGTTACCAAAAAGATCCCCCGGACAAGGAGTTAGACAGCCAGCCAGATGTCCGTTCCCCCAAAGGCAGAGGCCTGAGGGGAGCCGACTGCTGGCCACTGCCATCCAGTCACCTGTTTCCAGTTCACAGAGATCAGCCAGCGCATGCTCTGCTCCTACCACACGGACATAGACGAGCTTTTCGCTGAGATTGACCACTGCCTGGCCGTCAACCGCAGCGTCCTGCAGCAGCTGGACGGGCAGTGTGGCCGCAGGCTCATGGACGACGACTGGCAGGAGATCCAGGCACAGGTAGGCCCTCCACCGGGGGTGGCGGCCTCGGAGGGAGGCCTGGGGACGGACCTTCACAGACACACACACACACACACACCTGCTCTGGGTGACTGCCAGGCCCTCTGTCTGAAGTTCTGCTTTGATAATGCCAACAGAGGAAACACCAAAGGGAGCAGACCGCGGGCGCTGCGTCTTCACCGCTCCCCGTGCTCCGCCTGGGGCTGCAGGGACCGCAGGAGAAAGGGCCACTGAGGATCCAGCGGAGGAAAACTTACTTGAATGTCATAAAAATAAGAACATTCATAAAATTTAACAGTTACATAGAGTTGTTTTCTGAAAAAGACCGTTCTATGGCTTAAAATTAAATCTGTATTATCGGTGCTCAGTATTTTATGAAGGATTTTGTTTCTAAATGTCTTACCACAGGCGGGTCCGACCCCCTTTCATTTTCACAGGAGTGACAGGATGTTTGGTGTTATGTTACCACGGGACGAGACTCATTCATGTGAGCAGACGCCTGTCTCTCAAGACCTCGGTCTCCCCGAACCCGGATGGGCCGACCTGATGGCTCTCCCTCTGTGTTGCAGGCCCTGCAGCGGGAGCCCGCCGAGTGCTCCATCTGCCTGGCGCCGCTGGCGGGGAGCGGCCCGCGCCCCCGGAGCACTGTGCTGCTGTCCTGCTCCCACGTGTTCCACCACGCGTGCCTGCTGGCCCTGGAGCAGTTCTCCCTGGGAGACAGCTCGCCCTTCCACGCCTGCCCCCTCTGCCGCGCTTGCTACCAGAAGAAAGTTCTCCAAGCTGAAGTTCATGGTCAGGGGACGCTGCGCCGTCCGGGGGCAGCATCTGCTTCACTTCGGACAAATGGGGGTTTGGGTTAAGGGAAGGACCCTTAGCAGTGTGCATAGGAAATATAACTCTATTTTAAAAGCTGTGTCCGTCTTTACTGTTAAAAGAACATGCCAGATTCATGCATTTAGCCAGTTGAAACAGGAGAGGGACGGATCTAACTTGAGTTTCTGAGGTTCTGTGGCTGCTGACTTGTGCCAAGCGGCCTGGCCAGGGTTGCTCAGAACAGAAGTGCCCCTTCCTCTCCGGCAGCCTGTCTACCTGCCCGTCTCCACGGGGAGCCAGCGAGCCCGTGGTGGACACAGGTTAGCAAGGGTGCACCTGTCAACGGTGCCAAATGGGACAGAATGCTGGAGACACAGCCTGTTAATTACTGTCTCATCCTCTTAAAACACCAGCACCCGCCCCACTTCTCTGGACTGATTCCTACCACCGGAGACCAGGGCTCAAGCGCTGTTCCAACAGAGCGTCCCAGGGGAGACGGGCCGCAGGTGTGACCAGCAGAGCCAGGGGAAGTGGGCATTGGCCCACCATCCCCTTCGAAGGCCCAGCCAGTCCACTGCCCCAACCCTGGGATCTAGATGGAGGTCAGGGAGGCGTGTCATCGGTGAGGCGCGGGGCTCTGTTCCTGGGCTCCCTGAGCCCCGTCTCCAACTTCCCCAGGCTCTGCGCTGCCCAAACCTCTGTTCCTTCCACCGGGACTGGGCCAGCAGGCACCAGCTGCAGGAAGCCGGGAGCTGGCCTGGGCTGGCCATAGAGGCAGGCAGCGAACCCCGAGTGCTCGGGTGGTCTCGTGCAGCCAGGACTGTGGTGGGGAGTCCCCTCAGGCTCCCCCACCGCAGGCCTGAGGACTGGAGCTGAGCACTGAGCAGGGGCGGTGCAGACACGGCCCCTCCGATGGCTCAGGGACCACGACAGGGTGGAGGCGGTCAGTGACCGGGAGAGCCGGGCCCCAAGGAGAGTGGTTCTATTTAAACCCACCGCCGGCACCGTCTCCGAGCGACTGAGGAACCGCTCCTGAGCTGCGGGACGCGGTCTCTGCGCCGGCGCCCCGATTAAAGCGAGGCGGTGGCAGCAGAGTGGCTCCTCTCAGTGATGGAGGTGCTGGGGCCAGAGGGGCAGCCTGTGGGCAGAGCCACCCGCACCTGCCCGAGGCTCGATCCCGCACCTGCTCCGCCGCCCGCGGGCACCCAGGCCCAGCCCCCGCAGGTGCTTCCTGCCGCTCAGACCTCGCCCCACAGCATGGCCCCAAACGGGGTTCCTGCTGGTGCCTCGCCAAGTGCAGACTCAGGGCCAGAGGCTCTGTGTCCCTCACGGGCGAGTGGCCGGTAGGGCCCTGCGCGTCCAGGCTGAGCCCGGGGCCTCAGGGCGGCGTCCCCGCTTCTCTGATGGAGCGGGTGGGGTGAGGGTCACGCCGGAGGCCCCATGCCCGGTGCGCGGGGCCAGTTGCTTCCTCTGGCAGAGCCCTGGGGAGCCCCAGCTCCGGGACCCCCTGCCCAGGTCCTGGGGCTCTGGCACGGGCTCTGCTTCCGCGGTGGCCACCAGGTGACTGACGGTGAGGGAGGAGAAACAGGACTGTGTGAGCCTGACAGCACGATGGTGCTGGCAGACAGACAGACAGACCCGCGGGTGCGCTCAGCATGAGAGGACCCTGAGCACCAGTGACTTGCACTTGAGAGCACCTCGGGGGTGGGGGTGTCACATCGCGGTTAAGCAGTGAGGGAGGAAGCAGGAGGATTCTTCCTAACCATGGAGTAGCTTCAAATTTTTAAATTTCCTTACAGGCAAAAACACAGGGCGGGAATGGGAACTCCTGTAATAGTGTTAACAAAATAAAGTTTAAAAATAACAAGGAAAATATTTACAACACGCCCAACAAACACCTCCCATCCACACTGCAGGGCTTTGTCAAGCAATGTTCTGCGGCGCCGAAGCCAGTGCTCACAGCTTCTACGGCTTTGAATGCTGTCAGCTGTCTCCATGCGGCCCATGTTCAGAGTTCAAAGGCTGCAGTCCTTCATAGGAGCTGCTGCAGCCGGTCATGACATTGTCTCAGAAAGGCTGAGAAAAAAAATTAAAATATTTAAACACTCTTTTCAAGTAACAGCTGACACTCATCGAGCTCAGACGCATCAGCCACGCGAGCGGGTGTCCGTGTAAGACGCTGTCGACATGCCGGCCTCCTGCGGCCCATTCCTGCCCTTGGAGCTGAGTGCGGGGCTGTGGCCACTCTCCCTGGTCCTCATGGCCCGGGGTCTACACAGCTGCTTTGCGCAGGGGACACACACACACACACACACACACACACACACACACACACACAAGGGAACTGGAAACCCAGGCCTCCACCACCCCCTGGGGCTGCAGGTCCCCAGACCTGGGCCTGTGCGCTGAACGGGGAGCCAGAGAGAACTTCCCAAACCGCCTCCTTCTGTAGGAAATGGGCCTCCACGACCCACCTCCAGCGTGGAAACAGAATGCAGGCTGGAGGGAAGAGGATATAAGAACAAAGAACTAGTTGAAACCGGTTTGGCTCAGTGAATAGAGCATCGGCCTGCGGACTGAAAGGTCCTGGGTTCGATTCCAGTCAAGGGCATGTACCTTGGTTGCGAGCACATCCCCAGTGGAGGGTGTGCAGGAGGCAACTGGTCAATGTTTCTCTTTCATCAATATTTCTAACTCTCTATCCTTCTCCCTTCCTCTCTGTAAGAAATCAATAAAATATATTAAAAATAAAAAATAAAAAAAGAACAAAGAACTGTAGCCAGCCAGCATCATGGTGGAAACCCCCGGGGTACCTGCCTCAGCTAGACAGGGGGATGTGGGGGCAACTAGAAAGGTCCCAGCCCAATTGTTTTAAATGGCCCAATGGGAGACAGCGAGACCTAGGAGACGGATGAGGAAACAGGTGACCCATAGTACTCAGCCAATGAGGACCAAGAGGAGGGACTGAACAAACAGGCTTGTTCGCTGCCCCAGGTGTGCCTGCACAACTGGACGACACCCGCTCTGAGAACTTATTAAGTCTCATTTTGCCATACTTCTGTCTCCGAGTCCGTTACTTGGATTCAGACAGGTGAGGGTTTCTCACACAATCCTTTCAAGGCAATCAAGTCGTGTTCTTAAGGCCCAAATATCCCCCACGTGTTCTCTACCTGATTGTCCCCATCACGACCGAGGGACGGGTCTGAGCCAGGCCTGTTCGGTGGAGGAGTGACGCTGTCTGGCGGCCGAAGGGGCTCTGCCTCTGGGGCCGCGGAGGGGAGGCTCCGTGGCTCAGTGGGAGGAAGACTGAGAGGCGATGTATGTGGTGGGTGAGGGCAGGGCTCGGCGCCGCCCGGGGTTTCTGAAGCCTGGGGCCGCTGGGCAGGCTACCTGACCTCTGTGCTTCAGCTTCCCCACCTCCAGGTGGGAATGAGACTGTTACTAACAGTACAAAACTCACAGGGTCAACGGGGTTTAATGAATGACACTGTAAATGCAGTCACACAAATAACACGCTAAAGCAAAGCCTGGCGTCAGGAGCACCCACGGCTGCTGCTGGGAGCATTCTTGTTATCACTATTTTAAAGCACGAGGTCACTTTGGAACCCAGCTTCCTGTCCCCTGGCCTGGAAGCGCTGCTGGGCGTCTGGCAGCATGTTCTGGAACCCGGGGCCTTGGCTGAGGTGAGCCGAGCACACAGAGGCCGGCTGCTGCCACTTCCCCATCCCTCGGCACCCGTCCCTGAGCCAGCGGCTGTGAACACCTGCCCCTTGAGAACTCCGAACCTATGATGGGAGGCGGTGAGGCCAGCGGGCCCTGGGCCTGCGCTCGGGGAGACCGAAGGCGTCCCTGTAAACGGCGGCACCAGCCCCACCCGCCCACTCCACCTGCACAGCCACAGCGAGGACAGCGAGAGGGGCGCGGCGGGGGCGCCGGGAGGCCGGGGGGCCGAGGACCGAGGGCCAGGCGGGAAGCCCCAAAGACCAGGTGTGCACGCACCTTTAACCACCTGGGCATCAGGACCACAGGAAGGTTCCATCCCACCCATCACCCACTGTGCACTGAGTGCTAATGGGAGTGTGTGTGCATTTACTTAGAACAGATCTAGTTTAGAGAGAATGTTCAGAAAGCTAAGAAAACATTAAATCTAAGAAAATCACTATGTAAGTTATCATCTGTAATTTTATAATTTTAAAATATTTTATTTAAATATGTAGAACCAATTAATGATCGGTCTTTGATGAGTCTCCTAAAGAAACCTGTACCCCCAGGCCTAACGCCTTCAGAAAAGACGCAGGAGGTAGGAATGGGGAGGCCTGTGGTCACCAGGGGCAGTGCCACTTTGGGGACAGCTGCTGGCCTTGGCCAGTCCTCACTGACAGGTCCCTGCAGGCCCGTGTGCAGGGACCGGCTGCGGAGCCCTCATGGCGGCGACCGGGCAGGCCTGTGCGTGGGTGTCCGCAGCAGCCTCCCTGGGAGGCCCAGCCGGTGGCTCAGTCTTCAGAGAGAAGTGCTCAGAGAACAGACCCACACAAACACGGAAAGGCCGCTGGACATCTCGCACGTGCCCAGAACTCTGCCGGGATGTGCCTGGACTGGGTCGTGGGCAGCACCCCTCTACTGAAGGAAGCCTGTCTTCTTCCGTGGCCGTCTGTCCCAGGGCCGGCTCCCACACGTTCCCGGGAAAGCCACCGCTGGCACCGGTGCCCACACAGGCGGCTGCAGGGTGCAGGCAGCAGGCCTGATGCGCCTCCTGGGTGCGCGCCCTGCGGGCAGCCACGAGGCCGGTGCTGTTCAGTCCTCAGTTTGTTAGGGATCTGCATCTCACGAGGCTCCAAAAACAGGTGGTGAGGGCAGGCCCCGTCAGTGGAGCTTGCAAACACACATTCATTTTTCTTATTTTGACTCTCAGTGGAAATGTTTTGATGTCCAATATACACAGCCTGGTTTTCATAATTCTCCTCCCCAAAAAAGCTTTAAATGCAACAATCTGAGAAAAAAGTTACTTTACTGTTGCCTGCATAGATGGCTCATTGCACACACAGTGCATATGAATATATGTACGTATTTACAGACATGTGAACATACCTGTGTCTGTAGAGACCGGATTTAGGGCTGTGTGGGCGGGGCGCCCTTGGATTCGGCACGCTTGACGGACAGAACTCGGTCTCCTGGGGGACAACTTTATTCAGTGGATGTGGGGCCACGGCAGGACCAGAGAATTATTTACAGCTTAACAACCGAGTGGCTAGCAGATCAGATACTCGGCCAAACTCTTCTTACGCGGGAACCAGATGCTGTGCGTTTTCAGGTTTGAGGTCTAAATGGCAAAAGCAGTGAAGCCTGAGGCGCAAAAGAAATTGGCTTCTGCCCAGAGTGCTGAGTTTAAGACGGACACAGGAGCATGAGGAGTGGAGTTTAGAAAAGGGGCTTAAAAATGGAGTCATACAGCCTGTGAGGAAGGCACTGCCAGGGTCTCACACTGGCAGCTGCGCCAAGAGAGGAGACACTGACCGGCCACGAACTTGGAGCTGGCTGGCCACTCCCTCCCACCTTGGTGGCGCAGGGCTGGCCAGGCATGGGGGTGAGTTCCTGGTGTTCCCCCGACTCTCCTCTGTGACTGAATCTGAAGTGTGCTTTGTCCTGCGTCAAGGACGTGGGAAATATCACGGGCGCCATGCAGCTCCCACATCCCAGGCAGACCCTCCTGCACCGGTGCACGCCCTGGCCTCGCCTGGCGCCCTTGGCACCTCCTGTCCAGCACCAGGTGCCACCAGCGGCCTCCACGTGTGCAGGTCCTGGCTGGGCAAGTCCTCGTAGGCCCTAGCTTTCTGGCTGCCTCCTGGTGGCTGTCCCCACGGAGCAGGCATGGGTGTGGGCTGGCACCCACGCCCCGCAGGTTCCCAGGAGACAATTAGAAAGTGAGCGTGAGATGGGAATGTCCGAGCCACTCGGCGTCTGCGTTGTGTGAGTGGCTCACAGGACCTTCTGGTGCCCGTTGGCAGACGGCTTGGCGGCGGACGGCTTGGCGGCGTCCGACTCCCGGGGCGCCCCGGATAAGTGCAGCTTATGGAGCCCTGCAGGGAGAAGAAACGGTGAGAGGGGCTCTGCCCGAGGCGGGCAGGGGCAGCAGGGCACTAACAGGAGGGAAGGTGCTGCGGACACCTCCACGGGGTCTCTCTTCCACCAGGGCCGGCCAGCCCTGTGGCAAGCACAGCACCCTCTGGAGGCAGCAGGGCTTGTGCAGAGGCGCAGGCAGTTGCCCTCTCTGCAAGGTCCCCCTACCCCTCTCACCTACCCCTTAGCACTGACCCTCCTGCAAGACTGTTCCTACCCAAGGGGCCTCCCCAGAGCCCAATCCCACACAAGCATCATCTATTTGTGTCTCAAAATACACACATATGAAGAACACAGGAAAACACATGGACAGACACAGCAAAATATGAAGCATGCATTTAAAAAGAAGGGCAATGGAAAAATTACCCAAAAGAGAAAGAAATGGCAAAGCTACAAGTTGAAGAAAGGTATCTCAGAGAATAGAGAGTATTGATATCAGTCACAGCAACCGGTGCCACTGAGCCGCCACCTCCTCGGAACCCCACTCAGAACCCTGCACCGTGGGAGGGGACAGAACTGGCCCTCCTGGGTGGGGTTCCTTCTGAAACATGGGTGCCGCCGGCTGGGGTTTGGAGAAACCAGTGTCTGTCTTGTGCAAGCCACCATGGGCCGCCTGTGGCAGAGGGGCCGTGGAGCTGAGCAAGCTGCACACTGCCAGCCGAAGTGCCTGGGATCATGCCGTACAGACCCACAGCCAGAACCCGCAGCTGGCAGGGACCCATCCGCTTTCTGGGCTCCGCTGACGTGAGGCACAACTTTCCCCTTTCGGGCCAATATCCCTACCTCCCTACCTCCCTACCTCCCTACCTCCCTACAGGGTTATATAAAGCAAAGCACAATCTGAAATCTTTTCTCCTTCCCCAAGGTCACCCTTTCTTTATTTAAAATATGTGTATTTTTTTCTTTATTGAATTCAGAGAAGGGAGAGAGATGGAAACATCAAAGATGAATCACTGATCAGTTGCCTCCTACAAGCCCCACACTGGGGATGGAGCCCACACCGGAATGTGCCTGACGGGAATGGAACCCTGACCTCCTGCTTCCTAGGTTCACGTTCCTCCGCTGAGCCAGGCCGGCGGGCCCAAGGGCCACCCTTCAGTGCCTGGGCTGAAGCCCCGGTGAGCCAAGCTGTCACTCATGGGCTGTTACCTGAGCGCAGGCCTCAGTGCCAGCATCGGGCCGCTGTCCAGGAGCTGGGAGCACATGGAGTGTGGAGTGCAAGCGTGAGTGCTGCCAGGGCAGGTGGGTGAGCTCCCGTCAGGATCGCCTACCATCTGCCCTCTCCCTGCGTGCTGCAGGCTCATGCCCGCACCCGGGAGCCTGCCGTGAGGTCCTTTCCGTCACCCTGGGCGCCCACATCCGAAGGCGGGGCCGTGCTGTGCCACCGCTGCCGTGAGAGCACATCTACCCCCTCTGAGGAGTCGCTCCCCGCCCGTGCGAGTGGCCACGGAAAAGGGTCAGGAGCCTCCTCCCAGGAGTGGAGACCAGGCTTTCCCTGCCCTGTGAGCTCACTGCGCAGAGCAGACACCTCGCAGGACGAGCTCAGCCCCCGAGGACGAGGCCTGTTCTGACCCTCCGTCCTCAGAGAGGGGCCTTGCCGGGGAGGAGGGCGCGCTTCCTGGGGAGACTGCACAGGGTCAGGACTGTGGCCTCTGAGCGCTCACGTTTGGAAAAATGAGAGACGGAAAACTCACTCTCCCGGCAGTCACTAATCAGGGGGGAACCACGCCGCGCCTGCGCGTTACCTAGGGCCTTGAGGAGCTCTTCCCGGACCGCGGAGGTGAATTTTCTGACCAGACACAGTGTGGTCACCACCGCGAAAAGCAGATTGTAGGATAACACAATGTAGAAATTTCCCAGCCAGTTAAACCTTCCGAAGTCTCCCAGGAGATCGAATCTAGTGATTCCTGTTAAAAACAAACAGCCCTTAAAATCAGGTACGATGCATTCACAGACATCACAGAATAAAGCACCATCTGAGCCAGTTCCTCGGACCTCCCCATCTCTGTCAGTGACAATGCCTGTGGAACCAGACCGTCCGCCCGCCTGCTCCCCATGTGCCACTCACGAGGTCACACCGAGGTCATGCTCACACTGTCAGAACTGCCCTGCTGCTGAGGGGAGGGGGCGCAGAGGAGAGTAAGGATGGGGGGAGGGTGCACTGACCCAGGAAACAGGGTCTGGTGGAAAAGACACCTGACAACCTTCCCTCCCCCGAGTGTCCATTTCTTGGAAAGGGCGTCTGCCCCTCCATGCCCTCCATGCCCTCTACTCAAATCCTGTTTCTCCATCGCACACGTGACCTGGGACAGCGGCGCCTCCTCTGGCTGCTCTCCTGCCTTCTTTCCCACAGGATGTGGAGCAAGGGCTTGTCTTTCCGGTTCCGGTGGCCACAAGGCCAAAGCAAAGCCCTGCGCACACCCAATGCTACTACATACATTACTAAGCACAGGGGATTCCTCTTCAGGAACACCATTCGTGGGAATCAGGTGCTACAGGCTTGGCGAATAAAATGGCACAGCTGGAAACAAGCATGGCTGTCATACTTAACTCACCTGTACACGCTTATAAAAGCAGTAATTTGAATAGTCCGCGTCGATGAGCATGGGCCCTGGCCATACTTACGGGAAAGGATGTGTGAATGGTAAGATTATCTGACCCTTGGTAAACTGTTGCCATCTCCCAAGGAAGAACTTAAAGAGCTACAAAAATGTAACCACAAAGCACTATAAATCAAAACCTTTGTTTTATGAGTACTCTAAGGGTTTCAAGAATGACTTCGACTAAACTCCATTTCACCTTGTCAGCCAACGTTCAGACTTAACTCTCATCCCCATCCCAATGCAATCCCATCGCCTGCCCCGGGCAGTCTCCACAGAAGCAGCCACAGAGACAGCAGAAACTCCACGCCAAACAGGAAGTTTCCAAAGCAGCTCTTGTGCAGTCACATCTGCCCAGCGCCAATGACTTTGGCTTTGAGAGACAACAATGTACTAAACCTTTTAAGAAGCTGGAAGACTAATGAAGGCATACAACATCATCTTTCTAAAGGAAATGGGGACCCAGAGTCCAGCCAGCGGTGCTGCATGGCCTCACACCACGAGACCATGGCAACGGCCGTGGCTGCAGATCCTCAGGAGTCTTGGTGAAATTTTACTTGTTAAAAGGAATACGTGTCTAATTATATATTTTATTTTTTAATAAAAATATCGAATACCCTATAATTTAACCTAAGAAGGCATCTGTAAACAAGATTGAGTCCGTCCAAACCAGCGTCACTAGTTTCAGCCCAGAGACATGTGACCTCCGGGGCCAAAGCAGCCTCTGAGAGCCTCGTGGAGCTGGGCTCTTTCCGGAAGAAAGCACACAGACGCGCAAATCTCATGTAGTGTGCCACTCGCTGCTGGAGGAGCTGGGAGGGCAGGCAGAAGCCTGGTCGGACACTCTTCGGAGCCTTGCCTAGTCTGAACCTTCTTGATCAGACATCACCCATTAGCAAAACAAAGTGAGAGCACATAGACCCAACATGTGTGTGCAATTATTTGTAAATGATGCTATTCACTGGCAGACATATCGCACACAAAGACTTAGCTAAAAAAAAAAAACAACAATAAAGGCAAATGCAAGTTCTCCTGATTTGTTCACATGGCCCAAGTCTTCCTTTGTGAATTCCTGGGGCCCAGTCTCCACTTTGGAAACCACCGGTGTGAGCTAAAGTGATCAGCCACTCCCGGAACGTGACCACGTTGGGACCACACTGCCACGTGTGAATGTAGTTGGCAGGATGCACCAGGCGTGAGAATGGAACACACGTCTGGGAACTATGTTCTGGAAAGTTTTCTCACTAGAATTTCTCAGTGGAATCAACTTAGTATCTTGAGACTCAGGGTCAAGCCCTGAGATGAAATACCAGGCAAAGAGCAACACCCTCACGGACACTTCGGTCCCAGGACAGCTCTGCTGTCCACGGGGACTGCTGCCAGGTCGCACCGAGCACTGCGCAAATACCGGGCCGAGACACTATTGTCCCAATTTAGTTTCATATTTTACAAACCTAACTAGTGCTGCCTAGGATCACATGGCGCTCTTCAATCCTGGAAATCTGCTGTGAGACTGCATAGCAAGAGACCTCGGCAATCACTGCACTGAACGTCATGGCAATCATTAAACTGAAAAAGGTACCTTTTTATTAAAAGTACTAACACTTAAGAAAAAGTAACATTTAAGTTTTAACTTAAAAACACTTACTATTCACATGTGTAATACTTAAAAATCTCTACTTCTGGAGAGAAGTGTAAGAGAGCCTTAATTTTTAAGGCAGCAAAATTTAAAATAATACTAACTATAAGAAAATTCAATTATCAAATGTTGTTAACCCTCCTCCTCAAATATTGAAATGCTTAGTCCTATTTATGAGTGCATTTTTTAAAGATAAGTAAGACACATATGAGGCAAGAACCTAAAACTTAGGCAGTGAATAAGCATGGGCCCCATTATTTGGATTATCAGACAATAAATTCTCTTCAGGACAAAGTGCACAGCAGCCTGCCCACTAGGATTCAAGTGAAAACGTCTGCTGCTACTGCCCTGAGCTAAGAGCTCTTTCTGTTCACATTACAGAACGAAGGGACCAACTTAGCCTCACTCCAAGCAGGAGCTGGTTACCACCTGCAATGTGAGTGACAGAATGTGTGTGCATTAGCCACCAGTCAGCTTCGATGCTCAGCAAGAACACTCACGTTCTCAACTAGCAGGACAATGAGAGGTCATAGCCTCACACACTGACGGATCGTTCCCGCAGTGCGCTGGCCAACCACACGGCTGACGTGGATGCCTCGGCTTCCCTGTAGGACTGCCAGAAAGAACATATGCATCTTGTTACAAATAACAAGTTTAAAATTAAACTATTCTTTGATGAAACATTGGAATTAACACATTCCCCTCCACCTACCCACCCACACTCTCACAGTGGTTAGTTTAAATTATGTTGATTAGATTTCCAAAATCCCTCCTCTAAACCAGACGTTTGAAATAAATTTGCTTAAGAGTGTCAAAAAGTAAATGTGACAAAAATAATGGAAGAGTAAAATCTACAACTAGTTTAAACATCATTAACTTCAGGATTAATGTAAATAGGCTCATTGCCAATCATTTTATTCATTCAAAAACAAAGTTGTTCTAAAACTAAAGAGAGGTTCCATTTTGGGGGTAAAGTGAAAGATAACACTATTTAAATAAAGACATTAACTTTTGACATTAAATTTTACTGTGCAAGAAGACTCTCATTAAATTACATCAATTAGAAATGTTAATTAACTTTACACTCCACCAAAGATGGAGTAAAAGACACCAGATTTCCTCTGCCACATGAAGTTTTAGAGGAGACAAATCATATACAGATTCTCAACTGTGTAGGGGTTCACAACCCTAACCCGCTTGTTGTTCAAGAGTCAACTATTTCAAAAACTAAAAGAAAAACTGAAGTTAAGTCAGAGGCATGGAAAATATAAAACAAACCCAAGTTGGCCTTCTACAGAAGAAAACTAAAGTATAAGATATAAAACATACAATAGAAGGGATTAATGACAGATTAGACACTGCAAAAGAAGAGATCATAGACTAAAAGACACATCAATGGAACTATTCAAAATGAAACACAGAAATAGCCAGAACCAGTTTGGCTTGGATAGAGCATCGGCTTGGGGACTGAAGGGTCCCGGGTTGAATTCCGGTCAAGGGCATGTACCTTGGTTGCGGGCATATCCCCGGTAGGGGGTGTGCAAGAGGCAGCTGATCGATGACTCTCTCATCGATGTTTCTAACTCTCTATCTCTCTCCCTTTCTCTCTGTATAAAATCAATAAAATATATATTTTTTAAAATGAAAGAAATAAAAACAAGACCAAAAATTAACAGAGCATCAGTGACCTGTGAATTAATTTCTAATTGCTAATGTGCTTGTGGTGACAGTTCTTAAAGGAAAGAGAAGTGAGAATGGAAAATATATTTGAAGAAACAATGGCTGAACATCTTGCAAATTTGATGAAAATTATACCAATAGTTCAAAGAAGCTCAATAAACTCCATGTGCAAGATACATAAGAAAACTAACCCAAGGCACATCATCATCCAAGTGCTTAAGTGATAAGAAAAATTTTATAAGCAGTCAAATTTTTTTAAAACAAATCTTTATTGTTCAGATTATTACAGGTGTTCCTCTCCCCTCCACCTGATTCCCAACCCCACCCCATGCCCTTGCCCCTGCCACTGACTTTATCCATTGGTGTAAGATTTTTGTCCAATCTCTTCCTACACCCCTCAGACCCCCTTCCCCCTGAGAATTGTTAGTCCAATCCCTTTCTATGTCCCTGATTCTATTATATTCACCAGTCCCTTTTGTTGTTCAGATTTTTTATTCACTTGATTTTTAGATTCACTTGTTGGAAGGTATGTATTTGATGTCTTTTTGTTGTTCATAATTTTTACCTTTACCTTTTTCTTGTTCTTCCTCTCCTTAAAGAATACCCTTCAGCATTTCATGTAATCCTGGTTTGGTGTTGATGAACTCCTTTAACATTTTCTTGTCTGTGAAGCTCTTTATCTGACCTTCAATTCTGAATGACAGCTTTGCGGGGTAGAGTAATCTTGGTTATAGGTTCTTGTTGTTCATCATTTTGAGTATTTCTTGTCACTCCCTTCTGGCCTGCATAGTTTTCTGTTGAGAAATCAGCTGACAGTCGTATGGGTATTCCCTTGTAGGTAACTAACTGTTTTTCTCTTGCTGCTTGTAAGATTTTCTCTTTTCTTTTTGCCTTTGGCATTTTAATTATAATGTGTCTTGGTGTGTTCCTCTTTGGATTTCTCTTGCTTGGGGTTCTGTGCGCTTCCTGAACTTGTAAGTCTATTTCT